TCAAATCGGTTAAAAACTAAAATACTTAAATCTATATTTCGAAGCAATATCAAACGCAAACATGCTTTTTTGACCTTCTATAGTGAAACTATCTGAAGATGACCTCCCGAGCTAGATCAAATGGATTCAGATCGCTTCTTATCGTTTAGAAAGTTAAGGTAAACGATGAGCTGAAGATGCATCTTACAAAACTATAATTAGTTTTTTGTCGAAATAATATCCATGTAGTTTCATTCGAAAAATAATAATTAATAATAAGTTAATATTTTCATGTTGTTTTAGTAGTAATGGGGTCGATTCTGTAATTTTAATGCTATTCTTCTAAATCTATCTCTTAACCTAATATTTAAATGTGGTAATTTAAAGAAAACTCTGTCTTATAGACAATCATAAATTGAATTTACAATAGTTTTGACATCATTGTTTTAGAAATTTAATAAAAATTTCGCTGTAATATTAAATTGAAACTTTAATTTTAGAGATAGGTTAGAGAAATGACGTCTCAGAATATACCCGAAGTTTGATATTATTTTTTACAAACTATAAAAAGTTCGCCGTGTGTCCCGGCATAGATAGGCCATTCCTTTCTTTCCCGTGGGTGTAGAAAAGGTGACTAAGGGAACTTATGGCAGCTACGTCCTTCTTAAAACATCTCCTAAAATCTAACTGCTGTTGCCAAACCGCCTGCGTGGCAAATACTGTCAAAACTCCTCTTATGGGAAAGGTTCAGCAATGGACAGTTAACTGCGGAAATACTCCTAATAATAAAAAGTATGTAAGTATTAAAGAATATTACTTATATGAGATCTTGTAAATGGTTTCAAATATATTACACGAATGTATAAAACAATTTGTATCCCGCAGCGTTCCCTACGTGAATCATGTAACTTATCCCCGTAATAAATTTCAAAATCATTTAGTACTTTTTACGCAAAATAGTAACACACATTCATGAATAAATATATGAATGAGTATACTTTATTTGCATTATGCAATATAGGGGGAAAACAACACAATTAATAAATATAACGATACAATTGTACAACAACAGTAAGGCGGTCTTATTCCTGAGAGTAAATCTATTCAAGATAATCTTAGGGTAATAGACTAATTGTTGTACAAATAGGTATTGTATAATTAAGAAAATTAACAGAATAAAACATTAAGAAAAATAATTATAAGTATTAAGTATATATAAGTATAATAGTCAAATTAAAAAACAATATTAATAATAATAATTAGGCATACATAGAGATATTAAAAACGTATTAAATGACAATATTCGCTTACATTTAAGCTGTATTTAATATTAATTATATTAAATATTATTTGCAGCAGTGTGTAAATGCCTTAACAAAGATATGGTCAATAAGTATGAAGAGAATCTAGAATCTTAAATAGTGATAATCAACGTATATCCATTTACGCGTTGTGCAGTGATGTGACCTCTGCACGGGTCACATTGCGTCGCAACTCACTCTTGTCTAGATCTGACATTTAAGTATTTCATCGTGTCATCGAACTCGACTACTCCAACAGCTAACATCATTAGATTTGCTCAATAATTCAGTTTTCATGATAATTAAAGATCATGCCCCAAAAAGGCCGGCAGCACACCTGCAATGCCGCTGGTGTTGTGGATGATCATGGGCGATTTTGATATAATTTACCATCAGGTGAGCCGCATGCTCGTTTGCCCCCTGTGTTGTAAAAAAAAAAAAAAAAAAAATCAACTTTATTTGTGACAAAACCAGTTATTTTGATTTAAAACTAAACAGCTGAACCGATTTTGATATAATTCCTATGGGACCAATCTGTAAGTATATCCTTTCAGATAAAAAGGAATTTTGCAAATCTGTTTAGAATTAACAGAGTTATTATAAGGTAACAAACAAAAAAAAGTTACATTTGAATCTTCATGTAATTTATAGGTACAAATTTGTGCAATCAATTATATACATAAATATTTAATAATGTAATTATAAGATGAATAGAAATGTATAGAAACAGCTGCTTATCACCACAGTGCAAAGATCCACCAGCGGTCTGTTTTGGCATGTACCGAACGATTACATGACAATTCAGGACGCATTGCTCTGTTTATACATTTCCCCATGAACGACCAGTAGAAGAATTCCTTACACTGTGTTATTACTTGACAGATAATACCCTAAATAAGTAGATTTTGTTCTGCAAAAAAACCTTCAATCGTTACAAAACCAGTAATTTTGATTTAAAAATAAATCTACTAAATCGATTTTGATGAAATTTCTGTGGTAATAATCTAAAAGCATATTCCATATTTTGTACTTATATGACGGAGTTCTGAGGTAACAAATAAATAAAAAAAAATACAGTGTTGTGTGCAAAGACCCTCAGTATAGTGTGATGTGGGACAATTAGTAAGTAGAAGAAGATACTTCTGCCTCAGAAGCGGAGACATGACAGCTTCATATCAATCTACTCGTGACTACGACCGGTTTAGCATGGTTAAAACGTCAAGATAATTCAGATAAATTATTATAATTTCGGTCCTTATAAAATATAAAACCTGTAGCAGGAAAGTCTTAACGTCAAAAAATACAGCTAAATTGCGAACCTCCTTTTTTAAGTTGGTTGAAAATGCTGTTTGACCAAATGGACTATATTAGTACTAACCCGTATTATAGAAACGTACCTAGTCAATGTGAAGGTATCATTAATAGGCTATGCGTGACACCGTAGACATTATGTACCTTCGTTATCATTATCTCAGCCAATATCTGTTTACTACTGAACATAGGCCTTCCTATAGACTGCCTTAACAACAATCCTCAGCTACCTGCATTCACTGACTCCTTGCAATGCATTTGAGGTCGACACTCTATCTAGCGAGGGGTCGTCCTACACTGCGTTTGTCCGTACGAGGTCGCCACACAAGAATATTTCTTCATCATCGGTTGTCGGTTCTTCGAGCTGTGTGACTAACCCATTGCCACTTTAGTTTGTTTATCCTTCGGGCTATGTCGGTGACTTTGGTTTTTTTGCGGATATCCTCATTTCGGATCTATGTTATGCGTTAAATACGAGTGAGTAAACAGCCGCCATTGACAATGGAAAAGCGTTAGTAAATTTTAATTAGATGAAAAAGGTCAAAATCGTTTAAGGAGAACGCCGAGAATAGTAATAGTTTACAACAGAGAATCACACGGTGACGTGGTATTGGCATTGGAATAAAATACTCGAAGCGAAAGGAGTATTCCGAATGTCAAACGTTTACCGAGATCCATGAGTTTGATTTTATTTTTTTCTCTACGCCTTTGTGATATTATTTGTCAAATGTTGCCAGTTCTAGTTACATGGATATAAAATATTTTTTATTTTTATATTACTTGAAATTGTAAAGAACAAAACAAAGAACGCAGACAAGAATAACGTCACGAGCTTTTACATAATACGAGTGCATTATTGAGTCAGGTTATGGTTACGTGTCCTTTAATTTCACTACGATATCCCTTCATTGTCGTAAGAGACGACTAAGGGAGGGCGGGGGATGGGCAGTAGCGTCCCTCTTAATATATCCTCAAAGGCCTAACTGCGGTTCCCAACCCACCTGCCAAGCGTGGCAACTATTAGCAAAACACCCTTTATAGGGAAGGCTTATGTCCAGCAGTGGGTATTTAACGGCTGAAATAATAATAATAATCCCCTCATATTGAAGTAGTGCCAAGCAGGTGTAGCTGATAAGCAGCAGAAACAGGGGACCGAAATATGACGTAGACGAGTTTTATATAAAGTTTTCTACTGAGTAAAGTACCTACGTGTAACCGGCTTGAATGTAGAATTTAACAATCTATTCCTACAAGAGTGAAAGAGGTATGTTTTAATTGAAGTATTTTATGTGTGATTATTTTTAATATCCCAAAGGAAGATAAGCGTGGTATATTTATTTAATATATTATGTGTATGTTTATATTAATCAAATTATATGTTTATAATATATTAATATATTAAGTATTACGCTTTTATATTTCCTCAATTCAATAATGCACAGCCTACTTATTTTTTAGTTTGCCCTATGGTTGACTGGTAGAGAACACCGTCCGGTGTTAAGTCTGCCATATGTACATAGTTTCACTGTGCATAAAGTTTAAATAAACAAATATATGTATTTACGTTTTGAGTATATTTTAAGTTTATGCACGTTTCCCTTTCTTATGTTTCTTGGTACAATATGTATGTTAATTTCATTATATGATTCTTTCTATCGAAGTATCCAGGTTTTGATGAAACGAGAATATTAGTATGCGGTCTACACGCCGGGCTCTTTTCGGTTGTACAGTTAGCTAATTGCATGACCAGAAAAGTAACAAATTGCCGCCGGACAATAGCTATTGGAATATTTCAAACTAAGAATACTTATAATGTATGTGAACCACCGTGTCGCAGCCCCATACTCGGGTCAAATTAGGCTCAGAGTCTAGTTAGTACGTTCCTTGAATCTTTTATATATATAAACAAGAATAAAGGTTGTCTACAAATTATGCCAGTTTAAAATGTTTTTTTTTTTATACAACTTAGATTGGCAAACAAGCTGATGGCCCATCTGATGGAAAGTGGTAAACGTCGCCTATAGACGTGAACAGTATGGACATAACAGAATATACTGTTTCACGCAAGGTACCCCCCATACGTTACCATTCCTGAGTACTCAGGTGTTATTCCTCTGTATCCTGTAAATTCACTGCCATATCCATGTGGTGGGAGAAGGAATCCGAGGGAATAATAGATCTATAGTATTGCTAAGACGACAGCAAAGCCGTAGCTATGGCTTCACTTCAGTACCTTAAACCAAAAGTTAATGATGCAAAATTCCTCACTTAACGACATCATCAGCCGATTTGAGGGCTGTACAACCACGAAACTGGCAAATTAGTATTGTTACACTAATGGAAGAATTTGTTAAATCACGCCTAAGTCTTCGTACCGGTTTATGTGCGTGTGCAGGCCACCTGAAGAAAAGGCGCGCGCGCTGACTGCGGCCGTCAGTCGCTCCAGGGCCGCTAGAGGGGTCGGACCGCAATCTAGTCATTAAAATTATTTTTTTATAGTAATTTTGCAATCGAAAGGACATCATGAAAGTGTTCGTAGTTTTGACAGCAGTCACCGCACTAGCGAGTGAGTATTACTTATTACATATAATAATGTTATTTTTTTATAATAATAAATAAATATATTATAATGATATTATTACATTTTAAACATATAATTATTTATAATTATTATCATTACGTATATTTTGTAGATAAAAATATAGTGACTACGTCTTCGCATATAAAAGATATCGACGCATTCACTGATTACATTATATTGTATTAAAGCTTAAAAAGTGTAGATAATAATTAACGAAATATATATCAAATAACGATATCAGCATATTGTGCAACGTGTTGAGTAACGGCGACAGCCTGTCGCCACTCCCTTACACTTTACTGGCACAAAGAACACATAGTAATCAATTTATGTAATATTAAAACACATATAACTTGTTATGTTTCAAATTATATAATTTTAATTAATAAAAAACTAAATTATACTCGGAAGTACGAATTATTTTATAATACCAATAAAATATTTTATTGTTGTACATCGGTTTTTATCAATTTAGTGTGCTTACCTAACGAACATTATTACTACATTATGCAAATATGTTGGGCTTGATCAATGTAATGTTAACAGTTACACATTATGAAACTCATATCACAACTGATTTAACCTACTAATTGTTGTTACAAAATAGATTTTTCATGTACTTTTACTATGTAAGTTCAGGAAACAATTTTGGATGAAAGGAGAATGAAACAAACGTATAAATTAAAAGTGGAATAAATAATACGGGTATTTTTTTAATGGGTAGAAATAAAATATTGGTCCCGTCTGTGCTATTGGAATACACTGGCGGGCACCATTGAAGGATAATAGGTGAGAATGAAGCAGGTCAGTTGGTTCAAAATGTCAAATACACAACTATAAACAATAAGTAACCACGATAGTTTCAAGGGAGAACCGCGTGGATGTCAACTTTACAGGGTATATTGGTAGCAATGGGACAGTTAGACCCCATTGCTAACAATTCCTTTCTCCATTGATATTGGTATCGGGACTTCTTGACGAAGTTATCATGATAAGAAATAAATTGCGTACTTTCTGAAAGAGGAAAGCTCTGGAAACGGCGCGTACATTTTATGTTATTTCAGAATAATGAAAGAATGTAAGACTATGGGAGTCCTTAAAGAGACCTGGCATGAAGATAGATCCCACGTCCAGCTTATTTTTATCTTGAATGGTCGATGACACTCAGGTAAAAAGGTTCTCAAGTGACTGCCAAGGTTATTTGAAAAGAACTTAAAGTTTTATTTTTGTTGAAATACTAGATTTATCATCGAGGACTTCCATAGAAAAGAATTCTCGATATAGAGCTACGATTTTATTTTATTATATATCACCAAATATTATTCAAATACGTTTAATAATTTATGGGTGATTGTATAAGATTATTATTAAAAAAAAAGCGAATATCTTCTACTAGTGGTGTTCGTGTATTTGTCCGCAAGACTCCTAAACGAAATTTAATTCAAAATCGTTTAAAATAATCATTATTAATGTATAAATGCCAGTCAATAAATTTTTAATATAAAGTCGTTTATATGTAGGTATAATAGTTTTCTTTCTCGAGTTAAACTTATTTTTCATCGCGCGTAAGCAAGCATTATAAATTGACAAAGTGTTTGGTATAGAACAGCTTCGAATTGACGATCTTTGGGGTCTATACCACCACTTGGCAACAACGCTATAGTAAAAATTATATACTTACATACATAGAAGATATTAGTATATACATATGTACTTGCAGTAGTATAAGATATGTATTTGATAAACTAATGTAATCGATTGTGGGATTTGTTAAGGTACGTCAATTGACCTTTTGTTAGTTTACGCGATTTCTTCTTCTTTATTTCTAATTCTTAACTAATTTTGACAATTATCTTTGCAATCGATATATTTTTTATGCCACTGAGGTGGTAAACAAGTATATAGCCAACCTGGTGGTAAACGGTTACATATAGCCTATGAACGTCTGCAATACCAGGGGCATTACGCACGCTTTGTCGACCCTGAAGAAACCTCTTTTCCCCATTTTTTGAAGAACCCCATATTGTAGTCTTACTGTTTACTTGGTTTACTTCCGTATTGGTTTTATATAAATTTAGTCACGATTAAAGTTTCTTTGTGCAGCAAAATGTTATTCGTGTCCGTATGCTATTGCGAATAAAACAATTGGTAATTTGTATTCAAGATGTAAGGTAACGAGGTTTACCTATCTGCTTCTTCACATAAATTCGTTTTGTCGATAGTCTGCTGTAAACTAAAGGATGTTTAAAAACTTTTACCAATACATTTACTACTTAAACAAATTAAGATTTCGTTGCACGACAAAAAAAGTACGAGTTTTCTCCTTTTTGAAATCGCTTGAATAATCGTTTTAAAATAACTATCATGATAGTACAACTGCACTGCATATATCTATTGATTACATATAATATCGGAAAGTTTAGTGTTATAGTTATATGTAAAATCAATACAACGGTATGTATATGCCATATCATTGGCAATTTTATAATTTATTTAAAGAAACGATATCGTTTTACCATCACAATAATAAGAAAGAATATATATGCAATTGAATGCAAACCGACTCTCCTGCACGTAATATTCAAATGAGCATCCTGATATATAGGAATATGGCGAAAATATAGAATAAATGATTAACAAATGTAACATAATCTTATTTATGTTATTATAGTCGTAAACATTTTCTTTTTTCTGTTTTATGAATTCCCAGTAGTAAACTATATTAAGTCCTCGATCTGTAACTAAACGAATTGCAAATATAAACCTTTTAATATTTTAATAAGAAACATACAAAGTAACTATTTCAGACTTCCAATATACAGCTAATTGGCTTAAATTCTTGTTAGCAAGGACGGGCTCATCTCTGAAAGAGATCTCTTCCAGCCAACCTAATACAGTGAAATAGAAAATTATTTTTTAAATGTAATTAGGTACACAGTTTACAAGTTTTATATTACTACTGTTAAAATATTATGGTATTATAGAATATATTACAGATATATGCACCTAATTAAGTTCTCTAATTACTGGTTTGTTATTTTAATATGAAATTTTTTGATTATTAATATATTTTATTACTTGTATTTTATTCATGAATTTGTCTGCATGACCAGAATATAAGATTAATTGCTCGGAATAAAAAGTTGCCAATGGAACTGTTTCTGATGTGCCATTTATCTAAATTTATCTCTTATCTCAATATTTTAATTTATTAATTTTACGAAATCAGTGTTTTATATTAAACTATTTTTTTTTTATTATGCAACTTAGAATGGCAAACAAGCTGACGGCCCACCTGATGGAAAGTGGTAACCGTCGCCTATAGACATGAGCAGTACCATGGACATAACAGAGTGTACTGTTTCGCCCATGATACCCCCATGCGTTGCCATTCCTGAGAACTCAGATGTTATTCCTCTGTACCCTATAAATTCACGCCATATCCCACCCTTCAAACCGAAACACAGCCATGCAAACACAATTGCTTTACGGTAGAAACACGAATGGGACAGAGGTACCCAAGCAATCGACTTTAAACTAAATATATAATAATTTTGATTTCAATTTATTAGAAAATTAATTCATGTCGGTCCTTGTAATAAAGATTTCGCTGTGTTATCACATCGAAATTTTAATTTTAAAGATAAGTTTAAAGAAATGATCCTAATGTCCTTTTCTATCTCATTATATATATATATACTAAATTTTAAAACGATTGTTATGCCATTAAAGTATAAGGAGGTGACAAATAAATAAACAAACATACTTTTAAATGTCGAATATTCGTAGGGATTTTGCTTATATATATATATATGTAGATTATTGTATAAATAATGTCACTGTTATTCATATTAACTATCTATTGCTTAGTATTATTATTTAGAAAGTTGTTATTTTAACGAAACATAAAATTTATAATGTAGTTATAAATCTGACTCATTTGGCAAAAACATACACTATTAATAGATTAACTGGTATAATAAATTATCTATTTGTAACCGAATGATGTCGAATGTTATTAGCTGAATACATATATAATCTTGTTATAAACGAAAGTGCGATTAAGGTTTCCATATCATATTATTAATAACTTGTTATATATCAACAATATAACAAGCTATTAGTATCTCATTACTAGTTATTTATTCGATTCTGCTAGTGCATATTATTATTATTGCTTTTGTTTCCTATAAGGGTGGATAATATATAGCAATATCTATATACTGTAGTTAACATAATAATTATAAAGATATTGGCTTAATAACGGATATATTAAATATAGGTTTTTCAATATATACATAATATCGATATGAAGATATACCGTGGCGAATTTAACAATAAATTACTCACGATGGTTGTTAGGGAGAACCGCGGGGAACTGGAAACGACTTGATAGGGTATATTGCTAGCAATGGAGTTGTCAATCTCCATTACTAACAGTCCCCCCCATCCCCCCCCAACTCCCGGTACCGATATTACATATATTTACTTCTTAGTTATATTATATTTTACTGTTTCTGAAGTGAAATGCTATTAATCTGGATTAAATAATTTATAATCTCGAATATTAGTATAATCGTAAATAATAACATTAGATAATATTTTTGTGGACACCACGAGATCATTATAAATTATTATTCGAGATTAATCAATCTATTTAAATGAAAAGATACAGAAATCGAGACAAATAAATAATTTGTAATCGTTTCCGCGAAAGTTGGTTTCACCGAGCCTGCGAGAAGTCAAGCATAAGATGAAAAAGTGCAAAAAATATTAGTATAATGAATGGACAAGACACTGCAGCATAATATCTAATTTTTTACCGTTCAGTGCGTTTTCTGCAAGTCGACATTGACATTAACTTTTTGTAATTTAGCTGTAACAGTACATTGTAGGCATTAAATTTATGCAATCAGTCATGTTGACATCGAGATATTAAAATTTACGCAAATATTGGAATTGTATTTTTGCAATTACTACTTTTA